TATATTGTAATATATATAAACATATACATAAAATTTGTTATTAGGGATATTAGCCATTTGTTTCTCTTACAGGCTGCAAATATTTTCTTCTAATTCATCACCTGTCTTTTAACTTTGCTAATAGTGTGTTTGCCATGAAAAATTTAAAATAAAGTGTTTTGTAGTCATTGACCAATTTTGAAAAATAACTGGGCTGTTGAAATGATAGCTGTTGCTTATTGAGAGCTTGCCCTGGAAAAAGTGCTGTGCTAAGGACTTTTCATACAGAGTCATTGAAAGAGGTCTCTGAATTAATAGGAAACAGCAGTTGCACACAAAGAGATCTTGGCGAAGGCCTATCTTCAATACCCACCAGCTGTGTGACCTTGCACATGGTGTATCCAAGTTTTATCATCTTTGAACAGGGATACTAATGGCATCTACATCATAGGGTTGTCCTGAGGATTAGCTGGGTCCTGAAAGGGCTTTGAGCAGTTCCTGACACATAATCAGTGTTGGATAAAGGTTGGCTATTTAATTACTGTGCCACAGTATTTTAGTTTTAAACATATAAATTATAACCCAATATCCCCTTCTTCAAATTAAGCAAAATTCTGCCATCATTTAAATGGTATCTCTATTTCTTTTACCATGGGTCTTAAAGATCACCATGAGACAGTGTTTTGTTTTCCGAATGCTTTGTCTTACTGTAGTTTAAATCAGCGACTCAGATCTAGGGTTTCTTGTGGAAAGACTCATGGAGAAAAATTTGGGACATGGCAAGAGCAGGTTAACTGTACTTTAAAAACATTAATGCTTATGTTTTGTTAATCAGATATGAATAACTATAATTATTGATGTTTCTAAAATGTGGTGTTTATAAAGTAAAAATTTTTATTACTAGACTTCACTAAGGGTTAAGATCAACTTATTACAAATGTTCATGGTTGCTGGGCTCTACATGGACGCTGCAAGGTCATAGTGTGTGCCCTCCCCGGCCTGTGGTGGAATCCTGCCATTTCCAGGAAGAATTCTTGGTTATTAGAGAATTATTGATAATGCCTGGAGTTGGAAATGTTTTTGGCTGTTGCTCATGCTTGATATTTAATGATAAATTATTGCTATTCTAATTTCATGTTTAGCAAGTTAGTCTGTTGTGGTTGTTTGGTGGGTCTTTTGTTTTGGGCCTATGATTTTGCTCGGCAGCTATGAAACATGTGCCTCTTTTTTGCAACCATTTATTTGCAAATATGAAACATCTGTTTTAATTAAAACAGACACATGAACCTTAACCCCCTCCTCAATTTATTTCTATAGTGAGACTTCATTACCACCATCAAGTTGTTTTTTCTTAAGTGAGAACTTAGAATTGAGCAGACTAATTGGTCTTTGATTTTCCTCAGTTGGCCATGGCAAAAAAATTTTAGAGGCATTGTCTTCGATTATTTAATAATTCTCCCTTTCTCCAAATCCCTCTGTTGCTGGCCTAAAACTAGAAAGCATTTTTATTTTCTGTTTTAGCTTTAAACTTTAATTTGAAATTCTAGATTTTTTTCTAGATTTTTTCCAAAAATCCAGCAATTTTTGGTGACTAAGTATTGAAAGCATTGGACTGGAAACTGCAGAGTTAAAGAAAACTCTGCCTTCAGTTAGCTTGCTTTTGAATGGCTAGAATTATTGTCTATGTTATAGTATTCTTCTGAATTTACTTTAATTTGGGGATATCACAGTTGTTATTTTTTTGCATTCTGCTGAAAAAAAAAATGCTGGTATTTTACATTTTCCACAGGACTTAACATGGAAAATATTTTATATTTGTTGCTGATTTGAATTCGTCTTCTTTCCTATTCTCTACCCGTGTTTCCTTGGTATGAAAACATGATTAGAAACTGCCAGTTATTGCAAGTTGATTACATTGATGATCTATTTTGGTGTCTTCAGGTTACCAGAGAGAACTTCTCTATCAGAGGGACGATGGCTCTTTCAGTGCCTTTGGGAATGATGACCCTTCTGGGAGCACTTGGTAAGTGTTCTTGCTAGCAGAGCAAATCCTTGTCATGGAATGGGCCCTCACTAGGTCACGATGGCCATGAAATTGGTAGATGTGTTGTATATATAGGCTCTGAGGCTGTTTTCCCTGCTGGGGTCCAGCCCCAGCTGGTCCAGGGGTCCCCAAAGGTGTGGACGGAGTCGGCGAAGAAGGAATGACATGGAGACAGCGTTCAGTTGATCAGCAGCCTTGCCAGGATCTCTAGCCACAATCTCCAGCCAAGTACTGTGTCCATGTTCTCTTGCTAGGTTCTCCAGCCAGGTTCTCCAGGTTCTCCAGCCAGGTTCTGTAGCCATGCTCTCACACTAGGTTCTCCAGCCCG